AAGACAAGGAATGGGACAGTACTCAGGCTAGGAGGAGAGATGGGCAGGGGAGGGGGGAGGGTTAAAGAGGCTGGGGGAGTCAAGGCTCCTAGGGTGCAGATGGACTTACCCAGAAGAGAGGCTGGTGGGTTGTGCAGCCCAGGGAAGCACAGGGAGGTGAGCTTAATTTTATTTTTATTTTATGTGTGTGACAGTTTTGCCTAAATGTAAGGGCACCCATGTCGTTCAATGCCCACAGCGTCAGAAGAGGGCGTTGGATCCCCTGGATTCGGAGTTATGGATTGCTGTGAGCCTCCATGAGGGTGCTGGGAAGTAAACTCACGTCCTCTGCCAAAGCAGCCAGTGCTCGGGTTGTGCAGCCCAGGGAAGCACAGGGAGGTGAGCTTAATTTTATTTTTATTTTATGTGTGTGACAGTTTTGCCTAAATGTAAGGGCACCCATGTCGTTCAATGCCCACAGCGTCAGAAGAGGGCGTTGGATCCCCTGGATTCGGAGTTATGGATTGCTGTGAGCCTCCATGAGGGTGCTGGGAAGTAAACTCACGTCCTCTGCCAAAGCAGCCAGTGCTCTCAACAGCTGAGTCATCTTTCCAGTCCCTCTTTTTACCTTCTTTGAGTCTCTTCGTTTCATCCATTAAAACACTTTGTTTCTTATTCATTTGTTGTGTGTGATGCTGTGTGTGTACGTGGTGTGTTCACGTGCATGTGTCAGGGCCTGAGGTGGTTGTGCAGTGCTCTCACTGTCAATCTTTGTTTTCTGAATGTCTCTCACTAAACTTGAATCTCATCAGTTTGCCTAGAATGACTGGCCAATGAGCTTCAAGGGTGAATCTGTTTGCCTTATTCCCGACCCTCAGGCTTGGGTTACAGGCCTGTGCCACCACGCCAGGCTTTTTATGTGGGTTCTGGGACTCCAAACTCAGGTCCTTGTGTTTCATGGAGGGCTTTGTGGATGGAGCCACCTCCTTCTCTTTCATTCTTGTCTTTCTCCATTCTCATAGCCAATTCATCTTGCTCAGAGACGAAAATGAAGACCACAGGAATGGATATTAAATTAATGAAATCGTCTCAAATCACTGAAAGATCTTTAACTGAGGTGGAGATAAGGAACAGATTATGGTGCTTTTCAGGGCTTAAAAGAAAACTGGACTTCAGTACAGGAAGATTTCATTTCAGGCAGTAATTCACTTGTATTTTGATGCTTTAGGCTTTAGCATGCCTTTAAGGAGATCTGTCCTTTGAAGTTTAATTTAAAACTTTAATTTCTGCCTAGAAGTCTGATAAGGAGGGGTCTGATAGATGGCTAAGTGGTTAAGAGCCGTTACTGCTCTTCCAGAGGACCCGAATTTGGTTCCCAGTGTCCATGTTGAGTGGTTCACAACTGCAACTCTAGGTCCAGGGAATTTGATGCCTTCTTCTGGCCTATGCAGGCACGTGCACATATCACACACACACACACACACACACACACACACACACACACACCCCGCAAACTCAACAACAACAACAAAAACAAAACAAAACCAAAACAAAACAAAAAAACCCCAAAATCCTGAGGCTGGAGAAATGGCTCAGCAGCTCAGAGCACTGGCTGCTCTTCCAGAGGACCACAGTTTGGTTTCCAGTACCCACAAGATGGTTCACAACGTCGGAAACTCCAGCTCCACGGGATCCAATGCCCTCTCTAGCTTCCTTGGGTACACAGACACACAGACATAGATACACACAGACACAGACACACACACACTGATGCACACACACACACACACAGATACACACAGACACACAGGCACACACACATTAAATAAATCTAAAAAAAGTCTCCTTGATATGTGCTGGCATTCCTTCCAGCTGTTGAAATTCCAAGTTTTTAGTGAATTAAAGGACTATTTGCTTGAAGGACAAGCACTGGACATCACCCTCTGGTTAGGAATAACTATGTAAACAGTGCGATAAGAAGGCATGGAGGAAAGAGTGCAGTTGTTCAACAGGCAGTAGTATTTCTGCCAGATCTGGGTCTGTATATTAGAGGATAAGTAATGGATCCCCACGTGCCTGAGGCAATGCAGAAGACATTACGGAGTCCTTACGCTGTTGTGTATTGAATCATAGAAGGCTTTCAAAAGGAGCCATGCAGAAAATGAATGTGAAGCTTTCTGCAAAAACAACCACTCCATGAAGGAAAAGACAGTAGCTAATCATCATGATGCAGGACTTCAAGACACAGTTGATGTAAATGACTTTGAATGTTGGCCGCCTCTCATGGACTGCCTCCACACAGGAACCCATTACCTTTACCTGTAATATAATAACTTCTGTGTCAGCTCTCCTTCCCTTCCTCTCTCCCCTTTCTTTCCTTCCTTCCTTCCTTCCTTCCTTCCTTCCTTCCTCATTCCTTCCTTCCTTCCTTCCTTCCTTCCTTCCTCCCTCCCTCACTCCCTCCTCCCTCCCTCTCTTCTTTCTTTCTTTTTCTTTCTATCTTTCTTTCCTTCCTTCATTATTTTTCTTTCTCCTCCCTCCCTCCCTCTCTCCCTCCCACTGTCCCTCCTTCCCTCCCTCCCTTCCTTTTTATTTCTATGTGTTTTATAACAAAGTTTCATGTAGCTCAAGTCTTGAACTCACTTGAACTCCTAATTCTTTCTTGCTCCTATATCCCAAGTATTGGAATTATAGGCCTATGCCAGCATATCATGCCCAACATTGTTTTTAGTTTCTTTAAATAAGCTTTCTCTGCGGCTGGAGAGATGGCTCATATGTTAAGAGCACTGTCTGTTCTTGCAGAGGACCTGGGTTTGATTCTCAGCACCCACAGGGCGCCTAACAAGCATCCGTAACTCTGGTTCCAGGGGATCTGACACCCTCTTCTGATCTCCACCAGCATTGCATGACACAGGTGCACTTACGTGCATGCAGGCAATACACTCATACACATAAAATAAAAAAAACTTTCCCTCTACTACCCTAAATTTTTAGCATGTTTTTGTAATTTGTATATGTGTGTGGGTGCCTGTGGAGGCCAGAAGAGGCTGTCAGATACCCTAGATCTAGAGTTACAGGTGGTCATGAGCCACCTGATATGGATGCTGGGAACTAAACTCAGGACCTCTTAAAGAACAGCAAGTGCCCTTGACCACCAAACCATCTCTCCAGCCTGTTAGAATTATTTTTAAGTGTTTATGTTCTGTCTTTCAACTTTGGATAATTTTCCCAGTATTGGAGATATAAATTAACTGCATAGACTTTAAGAGATCTTTAATTCATTTAATGCATTTCTTTTTGCAAAATTGACTCTGTGGACGCTTTATCACAGCTCCGACTTTGTGTTTCAGTATTGTGCACATACACGGAAACGATGGCACTTCATCAGTGAATGGAGAGATCAAGTTGCTTTGTGCAACTGCATTTGTGAAAGATAAAACTTCTTAGGATTTTGGGTCTTTGGGTGACAGCATGTGTGATGAGGATTCAACTGTCTCTTGACTGATCGTGTTAGTAGACTTTGTGTGTCAATCATGATATCTTAGATGACAATTGCAGTAAAGCTAGGTGCACAAAATTATCAGCACAATGGTATGCCTTTATGCACTTTACTCTGATGTCTTTACTAGTGTATCTGATTTGTTCATAATTGCTATACCTATGTGGCCATCATTAGTATGTAAAAACATGCGTGTTAATCTTGAGCATTTGATGTAGACTTTGTGTGTCAATCATGATATCTTAGATGACAATTGCAGTAAAGCTAGGTGCACAAAATTATCAGCACAATGGTATGCCTTTATGCACTTTACTCTGATGTCTTTACTAGTGTATCTGATTTGTTCATAATTGCTATACCTATGTGGCCATCATTAGTATGTAAAAACATGCGTGTTAATCTTGAGCATTTGATGGTATTAACTGGCTTGTAAAATGTTCTGTCATGCTTTTAAGTTTCACAGATAAAACATTTACCCTTTTATGTAAATAGATGTTTTATAAAGAAAATTTCAAGTTATTTTCTTCTAGAATTATTGTATTTTATGATTTTAAAAACATTTTGGAATAGATTTAAGGAATTTTAATCTTTTCGGATTTTAATAGTTTGTGTTCTATCATTTGAGATTGCATTTTTGGGGGGAGATTGCATTTTATAGTCAAAACCCATGTGCTCAATTCTTAGGTGCAGTGTTAGGAAAGCCACATGATTCATAGACCTCTACCCATAGTCTCAAATTAGATCTTATTGACAGTAAAAAATATTTTAAAAAATTTTGTTTATTATTTTATTTTTATGTATATGAGTGTATTGCCTGCATGTATGTAAATGCACCCATGTCATACAATGCCCACAGAGGACAGAAGAGGGTGTTGGAGCCCCTGGATTTGGAGTTATGGATAGTAGTTAGCTGCCATGTAGTTGCTGGGACTTGAACCTGGGTCTTCTGCAAGAACAACCAGTGCTCTTAACTGCTAGCCATCTCTCTAGCCCCTAAAAGTTATTTTTATGTCTCCTGGTGCTGGCAACTTCCAGGCAGGTGCTCTACTCCTGAGCTACATTCCCAGCCCGGAAAAACATTACTGTTCTCAGAACCAGAGGAGGAAAGATTGCTTATATTCCATAGTAGAAAATCAAACACTATTTACTTCATAGTCATTATTTTACACATTTAAAGCTTTTCCTTTATCTTTTTTTTCATGGACACTCATTTTTTAAAAATATTTTCAGGGTATGAGGGTTGTTATGGCAAATCCCAAATAATTTTTAAATAAAGGAAGATGTTGACCAGAGGTGTTCAAATACATTCTGAAGCAGCCAGGGGATTCCCCTTCAGTTCCTTTTATTGACTTTTAGATTTTAGGAGGGTTGAGTGTGCATCAAGAAGTGCCCCCAGTGGCCAGCAACTGTGGAATCAGGACATTTATTTCCAGACATGGGAGGAAAGCGAGATTAGTTACACAGAAGACTGCAAACTTGCCCATGCTTTCTAGTGTTTGAAAGGCTTACAGTTTTCGCCCATCTAAGGAGACTTCGCTTTAGGAACTGGTGTTGGGTACGGCTCAAATATCCACCACTTCCGACAGCACTTTTTCTCCTGATCACATTCGCCGATGGTATCATCTGTGGACGTACATGCCATATCTTTGCATCTCCCTTTCAACAAAATGCACTGCCTTTCCCCTGGGATAACGCCAGTCTTTCCTGCACAGGAAGAAATTTGACATCATTAATTTATTTTCAAAGTCCCCTAAATGCACATGAAACCATAGCGCCCAGAAAGGGGGCCTTCAGATGGGAGACATGATATGTACATGGAAAGATCAGATGCTTACACAAAAGCAGTGTCTTTTTTTCTTTTTCCTTTCCTTTTTGGGGGAGGGAAGAAGGAGTAAGAGCTTGGAATGACACATGCCCCTGAGGTTGATTTCTGAGATTTTAAAGATACGGTCCTCGCTCTGGGCAGTGCATTTGAGTACAGGGAAGTGTTTACGTTTTGCTAAATTTCCTCTCTAGTGAAACATTCTGGGCTAACAAGGACATCTGCACCAAGAAGCCATTGCAACACAAGGATCTACTTTCCCACCTCCCTACCTGTGCTGACATCATTGATGTTAGACAGCATTTATCTCATCTCCAACTCCTTTCATAGAAAATTTGCCAGTCCTGATTCCATTCCAACTAATCTTCCCACTTCAGAAAGCTATAAGAAACAACTTTTTTGAGTTATTCAATGCCTTTTATATATACATGCATGGAGAGAATGCCTCTCAGACCTGAAAGCTTTCCTTAAATATGTAGATATTTAAGAATATAAATACATATATATCCACATACATATGTTTTCTGAATTAATTTGGCCTTTGAGAACATAGTTAAGCATGTGCTTTTCCATCCAGTTTTCCTTCATTACAGTGTCCTCCTCTTTCCTTTCTAGCACCACCAAGCTCCCTTCTTTCCATTGGGGGTCACAGTGGGTGTTACATAAAGGAGACACTTTTGCTAATGTTTTTGTTTTTGTTTTTTTAGTTAGGGTCTCCCTATCGCCCCGGGCTGGCTTTGAACTCACAGAGATCCACCTGCCTCTGCCTCCTGAGTGCTGGAGTTAAAGGTGTGCGCCACCACACCCGACTGCTTACGTTTCTTAACTGAAGCTGGTTCCTGACCACTGTGTCCAACTGCCTGGACTTTGTTTTAAATACTCTGCAGTAGACCAGCTTTGACTGACTTCTTGAGGTTGAACTTCTGTGACTTTTAATAGCTGGATTGATTTTTTTGACTGTGAGTGTTTTTGTGGTTGTCACTTTATGTTTAAGCACCAGGCAATCATTACTGTTTCTGTACTCCTGGAAAAATATCCATAATCAGACAAACAAGTACAGCCTTCTGGAACTGAGTGCTCCCAACCTGTGTCGTAGGACTCTTTCACCCTTGATAGAAGCCTGGATGTGAAACCGTCTGATGTCACACTCTAGATTAGGCTATTGGGCCCTAAACTCAGAGGCTCCAGATTGAAAGAGGATGGAATGCCTGGGAGGCGGATCACATCCTGGAATACGATCTCTGCTTGCTAAGACTATTCTGGAAGACAGAGGAAGCAGCTCTCTTTCCATGTAAGAACTGAAGTCTCAGCCCGGAGGCTGCTTTGTCTGCTCAGAGTGTAGACTGCATGCTCAGCACATGGCAGCCTGACAATCCAGCCATGTTTTTAGTACATCAGGTAAGGTTGTCATGCTTTTTCTTGTGTGTGTGTGTGTGTGTGTGTGTGTGTGTGTGTGTGTTGCCTGTGCAGCCAGGAAGACAATCTCAGGTGTCACCAATTGTTTGTTTTCTCCAAGTACTGCATAGCTAACATTCAAGCTGTTTGGGCAGTTTAAAAATAGCATCTCATAAGTAGAGACTGGTACTACCCTATGCCATGTGCTGCATTAGAAGGTGAACTTTACAGTGAAGTGAGCTATGAGTTTAACTGCTTCAGCTCCTCATATACGTGGAATAATGTGGTATTTTCTGCTGTTCTTGGCTTTATTTCTCTGAGCATAATATCCTCCAGGTTCTTCTATGTTATTACACATGGCAGAGCATAGCCTTAGTTTACTAAATATCTAGTTAAGAGATTGTGAAGCAAGAGTCCAACAGAAATCAGTGTTACCTCTTTAATGTCCCTACCCACACCTGTGGATTGATGGGAACAAAAATGACTTGGATTGAAAGAAACTTGGTTCTAGCTACAGTGTTATAAAAGTAAAATCAGGGGCTGGGGAGATGGCTCAGTGGTTAAAAGAACTGGCTATTCTTGCAGAGGACCTGGGTTTGATTTCCAGCACTCATATGGTGGCTAACAACTGTCTGTAACTTCAGTTCCAGGGCAAACTGACACCTTCTCTCACCTCCCTGGGCATTTCATGATACAGGTGCACTTACATACATGCAGGGAGTGTACCCATATATATAAAATAAAAATGATGGCTCAGTGGTTAAAAGAACTGGCTATTCTTGCAGAGGACCTGGGTTTGATTTCTAGCACTCATATGGTGGCTAACAACTGTCTGTAACTTCAGTTCCAGGGCAAACTGACACCTTCTCTCACCTCCCTGGGCATTTCATGATACAGGTGCACTTACATACATGCAGGGAGTGTACCCATACATATAAAATAAAAATAATGAATAAATTTTAAAACAACAGTTTAAATTGATTGATCTTATCAATTTTGAAGACGCTGGATTCTGAATGCTGAAGCCGATGCCACTGACATCGGAATTATGAGGGCCAAAGTACAACTGTGCACCTCAGTCAGCCTCCTAAGGAACCTATCTCTGTGGCCATTTTACCAGCTTACCTTTCTGTGTTACCATCACAAAGAGGAAGAGGACAGACAGGAAGGAATGGAATCTCATGGTTGTGTGGCCAGCAGCATTGGAAGGTGGTCAGCGATGGGGAATCAGGCTTTTATTCACGTCTGGGGACCTGAGGTTCCTCTTGGTCAGTGAAGCTTAATATGCAAAAAAGCAAAACCACATCTGTTGGAATATTTCCAAACTTTAGAGTCTCTAAATTGGGAACAAATGAACCTAATTATAGGAAACCAAATGGTCAATCTTTCTTTTTTATTATGGGCTCTCAATTGCAGCAGAGGTCAGCACCTTTAGTTACTTTTCTTTTTGTAAAATGTTTAACTATAATTCATGATTTAAAGATTTTATAAGGCATACAATGTTTATAATGTTTGTGAAGTACAGTGATGTAATTCACTGAACGTGTACAGTATGTAATGGTCAAAGTAGGCAATTAGCATCTCCATTTCCTCAAATACTACCATTTCCATGTGGGAAAACATCAAACTCTTCTTCTATAGGTTTTTGAGCTGTGTAATTGATGACTGCATAAGCTTTTTTGTAATTCACTGAGTCCAGTTTGTGCCTCTCACATACTTGTGGATGTGGAATTCTTTCTGAAAACTTTATTCCACATCATTGCATTCATATCTGTTTCTGTGGTAACACTATGCTATTTAACTTTTTGTGGATAATATGTCCTGGTGTACTGTCCTGTGGGTTCAACATGTTTGGAAGCTTAAATTTTCTGCAGTTAAATGTTCATCTCTTTCCCCAGATTCAGGATGCTTCAGTCATGATTTCTTGGGATAAGCTTTCTGTCTTCTCTGTATCTGTTAGGACACAAATGTCAGCTCTCTTGATGTGTCTTATAAATCCTGGAGGCTTTCTTTATTCTTTTTTCTTCCTTTTACTTCACCTTCTGTGTTTGTTTCTTTTAATCAATAGTTTTTGGTTTTCATGCTCTACTAGATTTCAAAGTTGAAGTTCTGTGAAATTCATACAATATATTTCGATCACACTTAGACTCCTTCCCCTGTCTGTGCTCCTCTTTACCACCCACAACCCAATTTCATGTACTCTGTCATATATGTTAAGGCCTGTCAAGTCAAGTCTGTGTCTCCAAATGTCCTTCAGTGTATGTCCATCCATTGGTGCAACCACTGTGGAAAATCAGTGCGGAGAACTCTTAACAAAACTGAAAATGAATCTACTGTATGGTCTGATTATACCACTTCTTGACGTATACCCGAAGGTCTCATTCTACCACAGAAATACTTGCTCAGCCATGCTTGTTGCTGATCTTTTCACAATAGCTAGGAAATGGAAACAACTTAAAGGTCCCTCGGTTGATGACTGGATAATGAAACTGTGGTAAATTTACACAATGGAGTCCTACTTAGAGGTAAAGACAAACAAAACCAGGAAATTTATAGGTAAATGGATGGAACTAGAAACTGTTATACTAAGGCAAGTAACACAGTCTCAGAAAAATGAGTGAAGTACGTTCTCTCTCATTTGTGGATCTTGGCTCAAATCCTTAGATGTGAGCATATATCCTGATATAGTTGCAGGAGCCAGGAAATTGGAAAGGAACCAAGGGGAAAAGGGAAAGAAGGAGCTTGAGAGAGGGGACTGTTAGGAGACAGGTGTTATCAAGGGGGGAATGGAGAAAATGGGGGTTACTTCAACAGGGGAGGGAGTAGAGAGGCTATGCAGGAGAAGAGATAAATAGCGCTTAGGTGGTATGAATAACCAGAGGGAAATGTCTTAGTTTATTGGATTTTTAATTTCATTCATTGTGGTCTTCAGTCCTAAAATTGTCATTTTGTTCTTTTTTAAAAAACTTATTTTATGTGTGTGCTGGATAACTTTAGTGTCAACTTGACACACCTGGGTTGAGGGGCCCTCAATTGGGGAATTGCCTCCATTGGACTGGCCTGTGGCCATGTCTGTGAGGCATCTTCTTGCTTATTGAGAGATGTGGGAGGGCCCAGCCCATGGTGGTTGGTGCCATCCCTGGGCA